TTCGGCCAAGTATTGTTTCACCCATGTGGTCACCTCATTCTGTTGACAAACCCACTTTCACCATTCAACAAATGTTAAATATGTGGTTATGTGGGTATTATATTTATATGCATATACACTGAGTTGGGTAAGATGAAGGAGTTGAGGTGATGGTACCACCATTACTCATCAGTATTTTGGTATTGGATTCGAGCTTTGTAAAGGGCGATACATATCAATTTGATGATAGAAACTTCTTGATTGATTCCATCTTTATCATATATATGGAAATCTGTTGAATTAGTGGTGGAAATTTTGTACAACTTGTTAATGGATTGTGATTTTTGCTAGATGACAGTAGATTCATAGGCAGTTAGGCTTTACTTGAATAAAGATAATATTTCTGATACATAATCTAATTGAGACAAAGAAGAGGCTATGTTCAAATTCTGCACTGTTTGTAGTGAAGGTATTTGACTTTTGGATCTAGCTAATTACTTAAGATGGAAAAAATATATTAAATGAGAATTTTTTTGGTTACATAGGCTATGGTTTGTGAATCTTTTGATTTTGAGCGTTTCTTTTTAAGCATTCGGTAGAGGCTCTTCTTTGCAATATCATTATGATTGATGATGTGTAAGATCGTAAAAATTGAGAGATCACACCCTTATTCTCCGAATTTATTAGTCTTTCAAAGTTGTCCACTTAAAATTATTTATAAGAGTTCAATGGAGGTAGCTTTTTTTTTTTATTTGATTTATGGGGAAGGAGTTCCCTATAGGATAAAATTGTCATATGTGATGTAAGGGAAAATGTTCGTTCGGAGCCTTTCACAGAGAATATATCATCAACATACTGAGAACTATTGAAAGTAACATTACCTCTTTTTGGTTTTTTCCTAATTCTTTTATTTAAGTTTCTTTTTCTCATTTTTTTATTGCTTGAAGTTAATTCCTCAACATTGCTACTCTTGGTGTTCTTGTGTACCCTTCTACTATTAAAAGTATTTCATGTTTTCCCATTTTTTTGATCCATTTCTTTAGAGCAAAGTCGACAGAAGATTTGGAGTCACTTAGCTATGTTCGTTTTCACCTGAGAGAAAGGTATGCCTTTATTTTTGCCATTCTTATAGTAACATTCCTATGAGAGTTTTGTTTTGGTGATTTTTTATTAGTTTTATAAAACATATTTATGGGCACGTATTATATGCATTGTTCTCCTTTATAATCCAAAGGCTATTATTATGTAATCTAATGAGTTTGAAGGGAAGTTATCACTATATGACTTGCATTTAGTTGTTTAAGGTTAGATTGATTCATTGGTTTCCAACTTTATTTTGAGGTAGTAATATGTATTGAGATATAAATCATCAACTATTTTTGGTTTTTGTTAGGTTAGCAGTACATGAACTATTTTTAGCCACTCTTCCCTATTTCTACTCAGTCAAGGATGGCAACTTAAGGATTAAGGTTCGATTGCCAGCTTGAGTCGTGCCACTGATCACCCACCATTTGTTTGCAAGATGTGAAATGTTTTAAGACTTGTCATTTGCTCGTGCTCTTCAACTTGGCTCCGCGGTTTTGGCGCCCTTTCTACCCTCCCTTTCATCTCCTTCCATCCATTTCTTAAATGTGAACCAAAATTGATACTTTAAGTTTGAAACCATAGTTTTAAAGTTGGGGTCACCAATATAACATGCAACAACACTATTTAACATCCTTACGAAAAAACAAGAAAACGATTCCAGTACTACATAGCAGAATTTAGCATGACCATGAGGTGAACTTAGGCTTTTATTGAGTTCCTTCAGTCTCATCAAAACACTTCTTAACTCCTAATTTTGGATTTTGTCCCCCATCGAACACCCCCATTTGGAAGCTCACTAAGGCACTAAGCAATTATGTGTTGGTCTGACGACACAACTTATTAGGGGGTTCATCCAGACAGTCTTAAATCCAGTACTACATGTTTGTCATGGATGAGAAAGATATCAGCTTCAAGGACTATCTGTTGCTAACTTTTGCGTGTGTGATTGTGGTAGTGCCTTTTTTATGTCATTTTAAAGGAAAAATATTTTACATTTGTAGGTTAACCTACAGGTTTAGTAATTATTCTGTGACGATGGAGATCAATTTGGAGGTAACTCATTTTGATGGTTCCCAGTTTTTTTTCGGCCAAGTGATTCGTAGTTAAGTTGCTATTACTTATATGGCAGGTTAACTAAATGTGTTGTAAATCCTTTGGTTTGTCATCATCCCTAGACAACCGCACTGGATCCACTGATTTGATCAGTATGAGGTACCATTTGACTGATCAGTGTGAGATACCATTTGAAACTGAAGATTTCACTTGGTAATCAAAAACGATGTTATGGTTCTCACTTCTCAGTGCCTCTGCTGGTCAAGGTTCTTGTAGTTACAGGTTCTGTTGCTCATTATGCGATTTGATTATTTCTTTCCTTCTTTCATAATTGTTGAGCTCTTTTTTGTGTTTGTTTGCATTGATTTTTTACTTGGTTTTTGTGCCATTTAGGGCTGACGGCATTCTTGGGAAGGCCATGAAGATCACTCCCATGGACATGGACATGTACACGAGCTAGGTAATTTTTGGATTTTGGTTCTCGTTAAATGGTCATAATGAACAACACGTGTTGATCAATGGTTATACAGACTAACATGCTACCTTTATATTCATGGATTGTAGGATACATGACATAAAAGTAATCCATGTGCAACAGAGAGAGTGAAGAAGAAGCTCATATTGTGTTCCTTAGCTCATGTACCTGTAACCAAAAATAAGTTGTTCATATACACAAATTATGAAGAAGATTTCATTTAGCTTTCTCATGGAAAGTCTCGATTCAGTTTTTTGTTATAGTGTGCTATGCACATACATGAAATTTGCAATGTGATTTTCTTAGAATGTTTTTTTATTGTCGTGATTATAGTCACCAAAGCATCTTGTGTTTGTGGATGGATTATGTGTGGCCGCTTCTAAACCATGCCCATGTGTTTTTGGATGTCTGTGTTGCACCACATCTGGTTGAAGCCAAGAGTAGATTGTCAAATTATTTTTTCAATAATTGACAATATCTATCTATATACTAATACTACTTATATTCTTCCAGTCTGAGTTGGTCACTTAAATAATAATATTAGTGCTTTTTCTATCCTCCTCATCCCAAATGGCATTCATTCTGTCATTCTTAGAGTAAATGAATCTATCTGTACAAATAATTCTAATGCTCATTAAGAAGGTGATCTCTCTCCCTCTCTATCTTTCCCAAAAGAAAAAATGATTAATACTCACTCTGTTGATGGATGCTGGTATGAATGCCATTTGGGATATCTTTGATGATTTTCGTGCAAATAAGAATGCTTGGGAGAAGGAGATTGCAATGAACATAATGAGAAATTATGGTTTAGCAAAATAAATTAACGGGCTGTAAGGACTCAAGAGCTTATGGTTTCGGTTGGTATTGCTTCTTATCAACATTACCTCTAAAAACAAATATAAAATGCATTTTAGTCCCCCTAAAAACTGACCAAACTGTTGTCAAAATCATATAAATATACTCATCTTTCATGTAGTTATCTATAACTACTTAACCTTGTAGAAACCCACTTACAAATGATTTGGTTTCTACTAATAGTAATGTAATTACCATGTCTTGCGGGCTGCTGTCCAAGTTGTTCTTCTCTGTCCTACAATTCGTTGGCGAGAGAGTATAAGAAAATGGCTAAAGGAAGTGTAAGGTGCTATACATGCATGTCTTTAAACTATCTATTGTAATTTATTTTGTTCTTATTTTTTTCTACTTCCAATAAAAACTTTGCGAAACAGTTGTTTAAAAGAATGAACAAATTTATTGCATTTGAGACTTTTTCCTCTTATAAATATGAATTTTTGAGCCACCCTTTGGGATATCTGTTTAAACTTGGTAGGTTTTCTATGTAGTTCACGTGAAACTTACATGTGCACTAATTAGAAAGAAAAACATGTATAGAATTTGATTGAATTTTACAGTCAAATACGTTATATTTTATTTTTTAACTTGCAATAATATAATAATATTATAAGCAATCTAATCAACTTATTTAACAAAATAAAAATTAATTAATTTTATAATATAATTAGATGTATAAATACCTAAAACAGTTGTAGATATACTTAAATAAATAATAGATTAAATACTTAAAGACTTATATAATAAAATAAAAATTAAAATAAAGAATTAATTATTCAACCCCTAATTTATTATTTAACTTAATTACATATATAATTCATATTATTTATAAAAAATATTATTTAAATTTATTTACGTGTAACACACGTTATGCACTGCTAGTCTTATAAAGTGTAAATACAATGTAGGATGATAGAGTAATTTAGCATGCTAGAAAAACATAGTAAATTTACATGAGTATTGTTTTGAATATTGTTTTAGTCCATTAACTTTTGGAGTTTAGGAATTTTACTTTTTTTGGAATTTTTGATTTGAGACTTAATCAATTACAATTATTGAATTTAAAGTAATTACTCTAAATTAATCTTTTATAACATTATTTTTTTAAAATAATTAGCAAATTGGGGTTTTCGAATCGAATAAGATTTTTCTAATTTTCCAATGACCTCGTCGCCGTTACGGGGTAACTCAACAACATATAAATATCCGCCTTCTCCGATTATGTTTCTCTCTTTCCCTTTGTACAGTCCTACCTCGTAATTGCATATACCTGGCTCGCCTGTCTTAACTATTGTTACGGGGTGACCCAACTGCGCCGACTTCTGGTGAGTTCTCTCTCTCTCTCTCTCTGATAAACCCTCACTCTTCCTTCTTCCTATTCGCTCTAGTGAATATTTGTTCTTTGATTTGATCTTGCTTCGTATTACTTTAATGGGTGTTTCTAGTATCCCTTGTTTCCACTATTTAATTGTTGTTCTTTTATAGGATGCAGCGAGGCTGCAATTAGTGCATTGTTAAGACAACAAAAAAGAAGAGAAAAAAACATATCTGAGAGATGGCTATAGCAGCACCGGGGCAACTTAATATTACCGAGTCACCTTCATGGGGATCTCGGAGTGTTGATTGCTTTGAGAAATTGGAACAGATTGGTGAAGGTACTTATGGGTAAGTACCCTTTTTTATTTTTCCTCTCTTTGTTTAAATTGAGCTCATAAGAATGTAGAATGTCGATTGTTTTTTAAAAAAGAAATTGTGGGTTTGTATTTGTATCAGATTCTCGTTTTATCGGCTTCCCTGGTGTGTATAGCCACACGCGGGTTTTTTTTTTTTTTTGGGGGGGGGGGGGGGGGGGGGAGGGGATGATTTGGGTTTGAGGTTTTGGGATTCTTTGGAAAGGTCTTTAGGATGTATCTAGAGACATAGAAACAAGTCTGGGAGCATGAAGTCCTTGAAATTATGATGATAATTCCAAATTATGAAATTATTCAATGCTTTGTCAGGGCGGTCTCCTCTCACCGTTTCTTTTACTTTTTGTAGCTGCACGATCAGTGGATTAGCTATTAGCTATCTTAAAGCTATGTTAAGTTAAAATCAAAAACAAGAAAATCCCTTCTGAAAATAATTCACTTCTACGCCTCAGGTGCTCTTTTAGATCCGTGAAGGCAAAGGAAAATGAAGGGACTCTAGGGAGTGGGTGCAACAACTTTGTTTTTTTTTCATTTGTTTTTGGAATCTAGTTTTTGGTTGATGGACTTGGATTTTTGGTCAGACGAAATCCATGTTTAATTTGTGACTGTGAAGACAAACATAAGGAAGACCATTTTTGCAATTACTTCCCACATGGGGTTGTGGTGCATGGAGCTGTGATCAAACCCTACATGTTTTATGAGTTTGCTTATAGATATTGATTTACCTTTTTTGTTAATTTTTTTCCAGTTTGTTTCACTTATAGTACGATATCAAATGTTTGTCAAGCTTTTCCTTATCTTTGGGTTCCTTTAGAGAACTTTGGGCCATGTGCAGACTCGGGCTTCGAGGAAAGTTGTCCTATTGTTGTCATATTCATTCTACAATTGGAACTGGTTTTTCATTTGAATTGATATGTTATGTTTAAGCTTCAATTACTATTGATATAGGTAAGACTAAATTAGATATGACTATAATCCTTGATGGTTTTGCGTTGTGTTTTTCCATTCACAGATTGATGGTTTTGTGTTGGGTTTTAGCATTTTCTCAAGAACCTAGGTTTGTATTGATTTTTGGGGGCTTTTGGAAGTGTAGTAAAGCTCGTGCCTTTTGAGAACTTATTTTCCTTTGGCTAGATAGGAATATTTGTAGGCATATTCGAGGAAGAGACTGAGTTGTGGAAATAAGTTCGATTCTTGACGTCTTTTTTGGTTGCGATTTCTCCGGAGTTTGAGGAAACTTTTTTGGATAGATTATAGAGCTGTTTTTTAGGTGTAATGTTTTTTTCGTCGCTTTTTTCCTGCGTTTTGTAACTTTTAGGAGTACTACTTGTCCATCCAGTATCGATATTTTCCCATACATAAAATTTAATATTGGTGTTGAAAAAGAAAAACTTTAATTACTTTGATATACTATTTCTCTACATAATTAGGGAGTGGGGGTGGGGGTGTGATTAACAAATGCCTATGATATCAAGGGATAAGTAGGGCTTTATTGGACATGTTAGATTGTCAAAAAGGAATGGGAACTGAGTTCACTTTTGGAAAGATATTTGTAGAGTAGAGTCTTCTTTTGATTTGTTGTTTCCTCGTGTTTTATACTTGTCTAGTTCCCATAATATTTTTCTCGATAATACGATCTGTACTTTTTCTCAATGAGTATGAAACTTCAATATTTTTTTTTCCAAGAATTTGAATGACATGGAAATATTGGAGTAAGTGTCTTTAGTACCTTCTATGTTTAATAAACTAGTTGGTGCACACATGCGTTGCAAGTGAACCAATATCGTGAATTGGTCTTGGCTTATTTTTTCTAAACAATTATTTTCATATCATAACCCACAGTTATACAAAAGTATTTTGATGTAATATTTATGCAACAAAATAATAAAATGTAATAAGTGGCTAATGTGATTTCGTATTCTACAAAGGTAAAAAATCAGTTTGGAAATGCCATAAATTATTGTGGTCTATATTTAGATGATGTGGAAATTTATTTGCATTCAAAATTTAGTGTTTTTGAAATAGAGAAAATCTTTTTTTACCAAGTAAAGGACAATATAATCGGTGCTTGCATTTCCATGATAGTGACCACTTCTCGCTGCCAATTTAAATCAAAAAATTAAATTACCTTGTCTGGAGTTATTTGTACTATATATTTTATTTGGTATTATGGAAACTATCATCACAAATCGAAACATTAATGTCTAGAATTTGTAGAGTCTCCAATTAAGGGAATGAGAACATGAAGACAACTTAATGATCACAAAATAACAACTTTCCTACCACTAGAATTTTGGCCATTTATTATATTTTACACATACATTTCAATGCTTTAATTCAAATTGATTTCTTGGATGACAACAATACGCACAAAACAACCTAATTCTTATCTTAGCTAATAAGAAAATAGTCATTAGATTTACAAGGCATTAGCTAGTACGACACTCAAATAAATTAATGAGAAAGCAAAATCAAGCTTGAAAGAGAAAAAACCATTATTATGGTTGATTGAGATGTATGTAACCAAATCCATTGAGACAACTTAACATCTATATAAAATAAAAGACGGCTTTAATATGAATAAGAGATGCACCACTGATGCAATAAGGCAACATTTTAGTGAAAACACAAACTATTATCACTATGAATTACATTTGAGCAAGAACAAACTTAGATTTTATTCAACATCAATCCCTATTTAGGTCCTTGGAAATGATGGCGATAGAGGAGGTGGTTGTGAACATGCATCATCCTCAATGACATCGCCACTCTATGCATATTCTCGGTTGTTCCTTTGCCTTATGTATAATATACCACCCTTTGCCACACAAAATCATTTCCTTGATGTAACAAAAAATTGAAATAATCATAATCCCTTGACAAAATCAATTCTTATTGATAGAAAAAAAATCAATTCTCGCAAGAAAAGTATACCAAATAAATATTTGTACTTTATTAATCCTCTAAAATCATCAGGAATGTGCTCAAATATGAATGATCAAACAACAACACCTGTAAAATAATATCAATCCAAAATTATCCGAGTAAATTGAATCCATAAACCATATATTTCACTCAACTCAACGCCAAAACCAACAATTGATAACTATTTCAATCCCAAACTCACTTGCCCAACAAACTAAAATCTCATCCCAAAATCAACCACTACTCCATTCTCCAAAAGCCACAAAAGAGCAAACCCATGTAACGGCGCAAATGGTTTATAAAACTATATTTCTTTTTTGTTTTTTTATAGGATATATAACTTTATTCCTTGGACTCTTATTTTTCATATTTCATCACATTTAATTTTTTAATCCCAAAGAAACAATCATGTTAAATAATCTAACACTGAATTATCCATGTGACTAAGCTTTGTGGCAATTCCATCCTATAGGTGAAACCATTGGAAAATCTTTTGCTAGCAATTGCTATATATAAAGCCAAAGTGCAACAAATTCCATGAGTATTTCAAGTTTTTATACGTGGTAAACACGGCTTAAAGAATTCTCACCTATAAGACAAAATTTGGAGAGTGTAAATTACTGATCCCAATGCAAACGTCTAAGAACAAAACGAATAAACAGACTCAAGATTTCCAAAGAATGTATTAAATTCTATCAAAGAAAACATCAAAGCATCCAATGAAGCAACAAGATCACCTCATTTCAAAAGTACATATCTGGAAACAAAACAACAAAATGCTTTAGATAATATTTTTTTAATTATCAAAGTCTCCTTGACAGATGCTAGAGGAGAGAAAGGGTAAGCCCTTGCGAAACATAGGCTATTTTTAACATAAAATAGAGAATCAAAGATCATTCAATTTTCCTTTTAAATTATAGTTACAAAGTTTATATATTAATTAGTTTCAGACATACTTCCTAGTTGCAGCCTTTATGACTTGTATTCTAAATTTTTAGTGTCCTTTTTTTTGTTGGGTTAACGTGTATGAGGGCATTATTTTATTAATATAAAAATAAACATTACACCTAGCCAGGGGGAGGGGGACATAATGAGCCTTACCTTACCCTTCAAATGCAAGTCTAAGATACATTTATTTAAGGAAAATAAAATAAAAAATGCATGCATCTTAAATAACCGAAATTAAAGGCTTAAAGTCCTAAATAAATTAAATCATCTTCTTCGAGAATCTAAGTTAGTGTACTGGAGAAGTCTTGAGTGATTAGGCTTAGCAAATGACTAACTCCTTTTTTTTTTAGTATAAACATACAACTAAAAATGTACAGTTGTGCATGAGTAGTAATGGTGCCGCCATTGAATTCTTCCTTTTTCGTCTAATTTGTGACCTATAATTAGAAGATTTATGACAATCTCATTCCATGGAGGTGGCTTAAGAATTCGAAGTTCATTTATGTATTCAATCATCAAGCAAAAACCAAAAAAAAAGAACACAAATCTTATAACCAAAAAAAAAAAAATACCTGTTGAAGCAGGATACATATTGTTCCACCAGGTCAAGACTGACAGTGTGTGTCTGAAAGAGAGAGGCATTGCTGCTTGAACTATTAATTCCTGGCATCTATAGAGCGACAAAGCTAAGCTACTTATTATTATGATAGAGAAGCAAGGAGACACATTTGTGAGAGGTTATGCACCAGTGACTGAAGAAGGAGAACTTAATCAACTGCTTTTACTATTGAATGAAAGGGAGATGAACGGGTACCGTTGTGGATGCCAAATGCCTAATGTCTAACGCTCAACGCAGCTAGCATCAATAAAGTAGATTTAAATGACCTAATTAAATCTGGAGGATAAGCATGACATTATTGTAGTGTTGGTGGGTAAAAATGAAAACAAAATATTTTTCATGTATGCTGATATTTTAAAATATTATAGATTATGGCCACCCTTTCAGTTTCTTTTCTTGTTTTTTTCCTTTCAGTCGTTGATTGATGATCCTAAGACGTCTAATCTTGAACATCACTTGGTGTTGGAAGGTTAAAGTGTCTTTTAAGGTACACGTGCTTTATTGTAATGGTAAGTGATGGGCACATTGTGAAACAGTGAAAGTATTGATCACTTATTCCTTCACTTCCCTATAACGCTCTTCTTGTGGCATAAAATGTTTAGGAAGACGGATTGACTTGGATTATTTCATGTGACTGTGTTCCATGGATTAGTGGGGTTTGCTGTTATGGTTATTTGTGTAGTGTTGGTGGAGAGAAATTACAATTTTTTTAGAAGGAAAAATCGCGAAAATGGAGTTGTTATGGGTTGGAGTTAAGTTTTTGGCATCTTTATGAGCCGCACAGCCAATGGTTATGGAGATATTCCTTTTTTGTTGCTACAGAATATTTTGAATGCAGTTTGTAATTGATGGATCTTTTATTTTAATTTTTTTATTTTATCTTTAGGTTAATTATTTTATCCACCACTTTGTATATTCACAACTTTCTATGAAATGTATCCAAAAAACATTCTATAAAATGAAGGTCTTTGTTTCGTATCACCAAAAAAAAAAAAAGAAAAAGAAAAAGTTTAAGCAGGCTAAAACTAACAATAAATCAGTTTCCCGCTGTGCCTGCAAAGATGGAGGAGTTATAGAGAACAAAATAATATATAGGCAATGGTGTAGAGGTAGGCCATTGGAAAAGAGTTTGTGAAAATAATGTTTTCTGGCCAAAAGAAAGGAAGTAAATGATCGTTTATTAAGTTGAAAAAGGTAACAAAGGGAAGAGGAAGGCCAAAAAGAATGTGCGTTAGAGATGCAAGGAAAGACTTGATGGCCAATTGCTTAACTGGCTATTTATTTCCTTTTTTTTTTTTTTGGTCGGGGGGGGGGGGGGGGGGAGGGTTCTTGACTTGACATAGAGTATACGTTAGGAAGTGATGTGCTGTTTGATAGGATTGGATTGCTTAAAGTTTTTTTGTGGTCGACTTGAGTTGGGACAAAATTTTGTTGAGTACTTGAGTAAATTGTTGGGTTTAATATGTTCCTTTGTGAGTTATGCTAGAATAACTCCTTGGATGATAATAGAAGATGGAGGACCCTGTACCCTGTTTTTCTGCTATTTGGATTATTTGGTTGGATCGAAATGCTAGGATTTTCAATGACAAGTGTGAGGAGATTGAAAGTCTTTGGACAAGGATTTGTCTCTTGGCATTCTTTTGGGCATCAATCAGTCACTAAAGAGTTTGAGAATATACCCCCTTTTTGCATTACCTCAAGCTTCGTGTGATATGTAGTTTGGTTTTTTCTTAGTAGTATTTTATTTTACCTTTTTTATTTTGATGTGTCTTTGCTGTCCACATTGATTCGTTTTTTTTGTACTTTCTTTAATCGTTTATGATTAATAAAAATATTGTTTCTTATACAAAAAGAAAAAGCTAGAATAACTTCTTACAGCTTGTGCATTCTATTTAATTTGTTACTAGTTCCTGTAGGAATCTTGTCAAATGTTTATAAGCAATGCAACATGAGGCTTTTTAGGATTCTGCTTTTGTGTTCATCCTTAATGTTCTGAGGAAGAAAACTCTCGTTTCTTGGATCTGGTGCTCATGGTGGTGGGGACCTAATATTTGTTTTTCTTCCTGCTTCAATTTTTTGCTTGCAGTCAAGTTTACATGGCTAGAGAAATTCTAACTGGGGAAATTGTTGCACTGAAGAAAATAAGAATGGACAATGAAAGAGAGGGGGTAAAACTTTTTTTTTTTTATACGTTTAGTTATATTACCTATTACAAATGCTATTCTTACTGACGACTTCTTGTGATGACAACATGCAAAATTCATGCTCTGAAACTTTTGTTGTTTCACTTTTTTGGTCTGCAGTTCCCTATTACTGCCATACGAGAAATTAAAATTTTAAAGAAGCTGCATCATGAAAATGTAATTAAGCTGAAAGAGATTGTAACATCTCCAGGTATCATATTTACTATTCTGTTATAATTGCTCTTTTCATTTAATCTGTTCCCTAAATAGTTTTTGTTTCACTTATTTATCCGAGATTTTGGATTTTTATCCAGGTCCTGAGAAGGATGAGCAAGGGAAACCAGGCAAGTACAGTTATGTTCTAATATCAGTGTCCTATATTTATGTCGGTGATTCTAAATACACATTATTGCATGAACTTGGAGTACTGATAGTGTTTAGTTGTTAATTGATACAATAGGTCAAAGAACATATTGCATTGTTGCATCTACTTATTGAGGCAGAAAATTTCTTACATTGGTGTCATTACAAGGACTTGCAGATGGTAACAAGTATAAAGGTGGCATTTACATGGTTTTTGAATACATGGACCATGATTTGACTGGTCTTGCTGATCGTCCTGGGATGAGATTTTCAGTTTCACAGATTAAAGTAATGCCCTCTTTGTACCAACCCCAACCCAAAAAAATGGAAATAGTTTGAAAACTGATGCTGGAATAACCTTCAGTTAATTGACGTTCACTCTCTTCTTCTTCTTTTAGTGCTATATGAGGCAGCTTTTGACGGGGCTTCACTACTGTCATGTAAATCAAGTACTTCACCGCGACATCAAAGGTTAATGTTAGATATTTGGTCTTTGACCATTAGATCTTGTTTTTAATTCAAAGCTAAGCTGACTGGCCGTCATTCGTGCTGCAGGCTCTAATCTGTTAATAGACAATGAAGGGAATTTGAAACTCGCAGATTTTGGTCTTGCTCGGTCGTTCTCAAATGATCACAATGGGAATCTTACAAATCGTGTAATCACTTTATGGTACAGGTAAACTATTTGGGTCACTTATCTGTTGCCTTGTTTGAATTGAGTTATCTGTTGCCCACATCTGAAAGAAAATAAAAAATCCTCTGAGAATTTGAATCTTTAAGCTTCTGTTTGGTAATATTCACTATTAATGCTGGTCCATTAACATTGAATAGACCACCAGAGTTGCTGCTTGGGACCACTAGGTATGGTCCAGCTGTCGATATGTGGTCGGTGGGTTGTATTTTTGCTGAGCTTCTACATGGAAAACCAATCTTTCCTGGAAAGGATGAGGTAATCTATTGTCAATCTTTTCTATTGTTGAAGTGTACTAAAGAGTCATTTCTGTCCCGGCAACAACTCAACAAAGCTTTGTCCCAGCGTACTAAGGGCATATTTGGTATAGGCATTAAGAGATTGGATTGAATTAATTTAATTTGGTGATGATATAATGCCAAGTTTGAATTGAGTTATAGTGATCCAGTATTAATTTCTCATAAATCCCGACCCGGTTCACTATTGTCATTTAATACCTAATATTAGGTATTAATAAATACCATGTGGTAGGTGGTATTTTTTTTAACAAGTTCAGTATTAAAAACATAATGACTTTATTACCCTTACAAATCTAGATCCACACTTTTATATAAAAGTTACAGATTATGCAAACTCTTGCCCTTAATATTTGTTTTGTTATTTTTAATTTAATAACATATACTATTACTTAATCCAAACATAAATTTGGTATTATAATTATAGATTTATAATTTGAATCAAAGAAAGAAGGGAGAAAAGAGAAGGATGAAATATTATTAGGAGCACAACTAATATGTCTTACAGCGTTGATTGAAAATACCTTACCAGAGGGACTAAAATATCCCTAATACTAAAATACTCTAACAATCCCAACCTTGATCCAAACTTGTTACACAAAGGATATGCTCGAATAGTACTCTTAAGCCATTTGTATGGATTGGATGAGGACCATACAAATTTTCAGCATTCATGGCCTACTTTAGGCCAGGACTAATTTCTGAAATCACAGTGACAATCACAGTATGCGTTGATTATTGCTCACGGCATACGTCTCCATGACCATGACTAGACTGTTATTCTAGAATTTTAATGAAGCTCAGTTGTTCATGCATTTGTGATGTGTATGTGTAATAGTTTTCAATATAATTTACCTAAAAGGCTAAAAGAAAAAGAAGGTGGAATAAATATGTTTTGGTTATCTTATGTCTCAATCCTTTGGTGCATTGTTTTGAATATAATATTTTAATGTACATAAGTTTGCTGGACTAATGTTTGGAGGAAGACTATTGGATTTTCCCTTTTTATCATGTGATTTAAATGCTGCAACAAAACAAGTAGGTGAATTGGATATAGAGGAGAAATTCTAAAAGGCCAGCTTAGTGCATGAGGTCCTCGCTGCTGGGACTCTAGGGAGAGTAAGGTGTAAAGTCTTATCCTGCATGCGAGTGGCTGCTTGTGTGATATGAAGTTGGAAAAAAATGTATATGACTACTGTGGGTTTTAGTGTTATGTTAATTGCCAGAGAGTTGGGTAAAGGGTTAAAGACTTATTGAAAATCAATATTTTAAGGTTTAGGGTCTAAAAGAGGGCCTGATCAGGCTATACCAGTAACCCAAGTACTATACTTTTGGTAACTTAATGTAGGTCTGAGATTGATAGTGATGGGAGAAAGGCATGGCTTTGTCAGGTAGGGTTTTAGGGTTGTAAGATGTGGGTTTCAAGGTCTGACCTTTGGTAGATAGAGTTGAAAAGAAGAGGAGAATAAAGAAGGACAAGGATCAACATATCATTTCAAAACAGTCAAAACATCCGAAACGTTTCCGTTTTCAAGGGGATTGAATCGAATCGGGGATCAAAACAAATCAGTGATTGAATCAAAAGTCCAATGCTTCGTGGTTTTTCGAGGTATTTCGATCTGTTTCAAGTTGTGTCGATATGGTTCAACATGTTTCACTAATGTTTTGGATTGTTTCAATATGTTTATATTATATTTAGACCAAAGCTTTGAAATATTTTGAACGATATTTTGATATTTGGAAAAAAAAAAAAGACAATTTGGCTAGATATCGAACATCCTCATTCACTTTGTTGAACTAATAGAGTTCATTAGTATTTACACGCTGTTATGTTCTTCTCTTACTAGTAAATGTTACTTGGTTGTGGATCGATTTGTTATGTGGTACGATACTTTTTTGAGTTTTTCAATATGTGGTACAGTGGGAGTTACTTAGTTGGTATGGTATTTTGGGTTGTGGTTTATTTTGTAACTTCTATATAGAATATAGACATGTAGTTAATAGATATTTATTTTGTATTTCTAATAAATGTTTTCAAAATATTAGTTTAAAGAATACTAAAATAAAGAAATAACAAGTTAGAGGTATGATTTGGGGCTGAGGTTATGATGTCTGCTTACTTAGATAATGAACAATTTGCGGTTTGAGTTATAATTTGGGTTGGGATTTTGAACGATTTGGATCGTGAACCCACCCCATTTTGGGTTGTGGGACGTTAGGGGTTTTCATGATCCCGGTATCTATTAGTAGGACTATGGCCCCAAGTAAAGAATCTTCTGATTATAGAGTAGCCTAGAAAGAAGTATGAACCTGAATAAAACTCAATTATTTACCACCCAATACATGATTCATGGACTATTGTAATCATCATGTCTAGAAATGATTCAATGACTAGAAACTCTTGACTATTAAAACCATAAAACATACGTCAACCAATTAAACAGTCTTTCAAAGCTAAACTACCTCAGGTAAGGCACATTTAACTGTAAACTCGATTATACATGCTTTAAAACCTGTTTCAGGCACACCTCTGCAGAATACTGTCACTTTACCTTTGCAGAATACTAGCACTTTACACTCAATTTCTCGAAAGCAGTTACCAAGAACCAAAAATAAAAAACAAAATTTCAATTATTTTTCCTCATTAACCTTGAGAAGAATTTTTTTCCCCCTAAAATTGCTCCAAATTGGCTTTTTCTGTTAGAATTATGCATCAATTAGTCATTTTGAAAGACAAGCTGCAACCTTAAGTAGGGAATAACCAAGTAGGTATTTGACCTTGGTAGAAGAATGATGGTTGGACATTTTATCAAAGTCCGACGGAACCTCACTTGGATTTATATACTCTCTCCTACACAAAACACAAGAGGATATGAAAAAAATTGTTTCTTCAGTGTATCTTTACTTCCAAAAGAGAATCCACATTCTGAATAACTGAAGATGTTACCTCATAGGTGCGGAGGTATTTGTTAATTGACTAAGGAGTTTAAAGTAGTTATTTCAGATTAGGTGACCTGCTAACTAAAAGTTATTTGCTGCGTAAACATTTCATTATTTGAAATGTAGAAAATCAAAATACAAGAACGCAACTCCCATGGATTCTCAAATTCCAATATTTACGATTATGGGTTACCTGATAATTGTCCCCTAAAAGGTGATCTCAACTGTAATATGACTTACCAATGGGCCTTTGGTCCAATGATACACCTTGTTTTGTGAAGGTTTTGTCTTTTTGAGGTCAAGGGTCCAAGCCCCCTTCTCCCCTCCCTTCCCCACCCCACCCCCCCCCCCCCCCCCCAAAAAAAAAAAAAAAAAAAAAACTGTAATATGACTTAGCTATGATTCTATGTCTAACATGATTTCAACATTTCCTTTAAGAGCTATTTCTTACCAAGTGGTACTTGTTTTTGAGGCAATCGATCCATCAACCATCACATAACATAAACTTTCCTAATGACATCATTATCCGATTTCTCAACATGCATGTACATTTTTGACTGCTGACAAAGAAGATGCACAGCTACAGTCTGTCGTCACTGAGAAACCTTTATGAGTTGCATAAACCACCTAGGTTAGTTACTAAAATGTTCCAATCCTTTTGTCTGTTAACCTTTTTATTTATGTAACAGATTTTGGTTATTATTTACAGCATCGTTATTTTGTCTATTCTTTTGAAACCTTTGTGGAAGAGAAAACTTGAGGAACTAAATCCCTTGACATGTAATGCCATGGATTTAGAGAATGGACTTGTTTGCATGCATGCATGCCCACAGAAAATCTTGTTAAGGTGTTTAGAGTTAGTAAGGACTCGTAACTGGAGTTATTTAGTAATTTGACCCCTTGTTTTTGTTAGTTGTACTTTTGTACTTACACAAAATCAGTCCATCGTGTTCAGTGCCATTGTCTGACAATATTTGGCCTTGTTTATTTATCTCATGTGTGCCTTTTTTGGCTTTTATTCTTTAAACATTTCCCTGTTATGCCTGACCTTATAAACCATTTAGTTAGTGAGAGAAACAGCAACGAAACAAATCAAGCGTTAGTTTCCTACTGCATTCATCTTTATAGTAACAATTTTCTGGCAAAAGATTTGGTTTAATTCACTTTCTTTTGGTCTTTTTTTTTGCTAAATTATTGTTAGCCTGAGCAATTGAATAAGATCTTTGAGCTCTGTGGCGCTCCGGATGAGGTGAATTGGCCTGGAGTTTCTAAAATTCCTTGGTATAACAATTTCAAACCAACAAGGCCAATGAAGAGACGTCTCAGGGAGGTTTTCAGGCTGTAAGTATATTGATACGTAATGTTTATATATGCCGTAAGTTGGATGACCTGAATTGTGAAGTAAGCCAGGAGTTAGATGCTTGTTCAATCTTTCAGCTTGAGTGTCTTTTTCATGTAACAGTTTTGACCGGCATGCTTTGGAGTTACTTGAGAGGATGCTGACTCTTGATCCGTCTCAGGTATCACTTTATCAGTCATTCTTGTCTTTGCATTTTTTTTCTACCTTTTGGGAGTGAAGTGGCTAGAATTTCTGATATTCAAATTTCTTTTTCCCTTTCTGGTCATAATTTGTTTTGCCATTTCTTTGTATTTGGGGTGGAGTGGTAGGTGGTGGTTCAGCTACCTAGTTCTATGGAAATCCTATGATACTGGTCATTATTTGGCTCTTTGGGTTCAAGTTTCTGTTGGGTTTGCTGCATTAATCGTAGTTAGGTTTTTTGTTCCATTAATTGGCCCTTATACTTGAGGTTCATTTTAGTTTTCATGGATTTTTTTGGCTACCATGTTTGGTTAGTTGGATAAGTAAACTATTTTTTGCTTGTCTTTTCTCGCAGTTCCTGTTGAGATCAAACATATGGTATAGCAATTTTGAGCTCCTGTCTTCAATTTCTTTTTTTCTTTTGTCTTTAATGTTTTTTTTTTGTTTTTTGTTTTTTGTTTTTTGTTTTTTGTTTTTGTGGTTGGGGGTTTGGGTTTGCTAATTTATTTGGGATTAGTGCACAGGCAAAATCTATCAATGCAGTTTCTTGATTTTGTGGTATTGAAATATTGTATCTTGACACTACTACATCCACTGAATGAGTCTTCTAACAAGTGTTTATCAATTATGTTTCTTTACACTACTCCATGGCTTACTTTTATGGGCAATTTTACTCATCTGTGCATATTTACATACAAAAACACCTGCATACACATATATGGTATTCTTATCTCAAATTTGTCCTGATTTATTTCTTGGGAGCATATTGATGTCTCGTCCTTTTATGCAACTTTTGAGATTTTCTGCTGCTTCTCTTATGAAGAGAATATCAGCCAAGGATGCACTTGATGCCGAGTATTTCTGGACTGATCCATTGCCTTGTGATCCCAAGAGGTGTGGTTCCAGAATATTTCCTTTCTTTGTTCTCCCAGTTTATTTATCGTGGATCATTAAATGTTTGAGATATATTTTTCTTGCTCTGCTTTCTTGATCACTAAATCATGCATTTGCCTGCAGTTTGCCGAAGTATGAGTCATCCCATGAGTTCCAGACAAAGAAAAAGCGCCAGCAGCAGCGGCAACATGAAGAGACAGCGAAACGTCAGAAACTACAGCACCAACAACAGCATACTCGCCTTCCACCAATCCAGCAGTCAGGGCAAGGCCATGCTCAGATGCGGCCTGGACCAAACCCGCCCATGCATGGTAATCCACCACAGGTAGTTGCAGGTCCTAGCCATCATTATGGAAAGCCTCGTGGACCTTCAGCCGGGCCAAGCAGATATCCTCAGAGTGGAAACCCTTCCGGGGGATACAACCATCCAAATCGCGGTCAAGGTGGTGGAAATTACGGTAGTGGTCCATATCCACCTCAAGGACGGGGCCCACCATATGGTTCAAGTGGTATGCCTGGTGCTGGTCCTCGGGGAGGAGGTAGTGGCTATGGTAGTGGTGCTCCAAATTATTCTCAAGGTGGTCCATATGGGGGTTCAGGTACCGGCCGTGGCTCAAACATGATGGGTGGCAACCGCAACCAACAGTATGGTTGGCAGCAGTGATGGAGGTATTAATATTTGTGCCGCTTGGTAAAATAAGTGGATGTACAAGGAGCTTAAAATATATAATAGGTACCTTTTCTGTCTGTTTTTTTACTTGATAAACGTTATTTGCGGATATTATTGTTTCTGAGTACATTTTAAGAGGAGTTTGCTAATTGTTGAAAATACAACAAACTCACTATTTGTTTTTTGTAATTACACAGCTTTTGTACGTCATGTACCTGAGGTGGGGATTAGATGTTGGGATAGACAAATATTATTGTTATTGTTTTTCATGAAGTTTATGTTGCCACAGTATTTTGCAGGAAAACCTTATGAATATAACATTATCCCTCCTTCTTTGTAATCTTAATATCAACCGATGGTCTTGCAATTGCCATTTGTCGGTTTTCTGGTGGGACAGCATTGAAACGTTCTCTCTGCTGAGATGAGACCTCCACAGTCCACACAGATTGAGCAGGGACTCTGGGCCTATTCTTGTCTGTGAACAAAGGTTTGTCATTCTAATGGCCACCTGAGTAACCCTTCTACAGTTCTACATGATTGAGGGTATTTTGATTTGTGGAGTTGTAGAGTGGATGTGTTGACAATATTTCAGTAAAGAACTAGATGGGAAGAAGTGTTTCTGAGAGATGGGTAAAAGCAGAGAGTTCTGAGAGATGGTATCTGAGATTACATCGAGCCATTGTACCGAGTGGGTTAACGATGATCGAAGAGTATTATTATATACATGTCATGTGTTCAATGGAAGATTTAGAGATGGTTATCGTCATTACAATGTGGCTATTCCATTCCGAAAATTTAGGACATTTCATGCTCTCGGATTTTACATCCTAAGGGGTCATTCTAGGAGGCTTCCCAGATTGTCTCAATGGACTTACATTACGAAGTCTATTGATTGATTCCATGAGCCTAAACCTAGACCCCTTGAAACTCCATTCAAGCGGCAGATCATTGGGAAACATGTAGCTTTATGGCTATAGATTCCCGAGTGGTTGAGGCCAACACGACTTACTCGAGGGACACCCCGTCCACTTAAGTGGCACTGAACGCCAAACAACGACAGCGTGCTTCTCGCGTGTTCGTTTCAAGCCCCCCTCCTGGGCAGTTGGGCACCAAATCCTTGACTATAAAACATCCTGTAAACGGCTTCTTTTTCCCTTCCAGTACAAGCTAATGCAAACTCAAGGGCCCATAAAAGAAACTCTGCTGCTAAGCTTTAAATAACCGAAGAGTTCGGAGCCTTACTCTGTTCAATTTTTTGTCCTCCATAACTAAACTTGCCTAACACCCCCATCCGACCCCCTTTTTCTTGAATCCTTAACTCCCTACCAACACGATGGTTTCGTTGCAGCAAGATTCTCTCCTTTAAAGTTAGGCAGTTTTAGAAGTGGTGCTTGAAATTGCAATATGATGCCGAGTAAAATAGTAAAAATTTGTGTTATATCTTTGCATGTCCATTCAGGAGAAAAAAAAAAAGAAAAAACTTTAAGTTCTAATGTTAAATAAGCAGCACAAAAGAGAAAAATGAATGAGCAGAAGAATGCCTCAACTAAAAATAAACTTTTTAACTCATGATAGAACCTGAGTACCACACTTATAGTTCTACTGGGGCTAGAAGACACATGCTTTTTATGAAGAAGAAAAAAAAAACCCGTAAAAACTTGCATGAAAAAGTAATGAAGTTGATTCTATGATTACTAAGCAATATGGCATACTGAACTCCAACAGTTTGACCCAAAATAGAAATAACTCTAACTGTAGCTAGAAGCCACTACCACAAATTTCTCTATCTGCTCACCAGGTTCGCTATATTTATCTTTCATTGTGAACATTGTATGAAGCTTTCATTGTAGGGTGATCTCGAATATAACTCCTTCAAGATTTTTAACCATTGATCGAGTCCCAGTGACTTCATTTATAAGCAGCCCATGTCGGACAGCTTCGCTAATAACCATGGTATCCATGCTGCACAGAAATAGAAATGTAAGTGCATAACAGCATAAAACTTGAGAAGATTCAATTATCATATCCTCTACCAAACTTCATTTCCAAAACATAAGCATGGATTTTTGAAGTAGACTTCCCACTTATCAGTATTCTGCAGGATTTCATACAAAATTGCAACTTTGAGACGTCTGGGATTTTGGTAGGGTGATGACGGGAACTTTGGACATGGACTAACATTTTTTTTTTCTAGTTAGTGAGAGATGTCCAATATTGGATTTGACTTGAGGGAAGAATCAATCTCACATTTGTTCGCTTAGTTGCTAAAGTCCAGCTATACTTTCTACATGTTAACTTTCAATATTTTTAGCCACAGAAAGGGGATCTCACCAATCACAATGGGCAGCAGGGCCTATAGTATTACTTTACTATTCACAGGTCGACATTATATTTGTTGAAACTTATAATTATCATCTTGAGTAATGGTTCTCAATAAACCTTGGGAAGATTTGATGAAAGTCACCAAGACATAAAAGAGTCACTTACATTTTGGCTCGGGATACATAGGCCAGTATGAATCTGCATTTTCCTTCACAGCGAACACGGAGAAGTTGTTCCACAGTATCAAAGAGCAAAGGAATACTGGACTGCTGAAAGCTTACAATTGTCAAGGTTTTTTTGTCCCATCTTTCTTTCCAGATATCAATATTTTTGGGATAACCCAGGGAAAGTAGATAAAAGCATATCACACAGTATTTGCCTGCTTATGCTATTTTTTCACAAACAGAAAAAAAAAAAAAAGGATTGGCCCAATGCACGAGGCTCCCACCACTTTGAGGTTTGGAGAGGGTTATATGTATACAGTCTTACCCTTGTATGCAAATGGGTTGTTTCTACGACTTGAACGCTTGACACCCAAATTGAACAATCTTATCGCTGCACCAAGGCCCACATTTCACGGACAATGGTTAAAATTTTGTCAATGATAGAACTTCAAAACCAAAAAAGAAACCACGAGTGCAGAGCAATTTCTTCCATGTGAGTTGCAGAAAAAAAACATTCTTGGCGGAAAAAAGTAATGGTTATTAGTGCCGCTCAGAGCAAAATAATGTATATGGGACTGCAAACAACATGTTAAGGAAAAAGTCATCGGTTTCTATCCACAAGCTGGTCATGTATTTTGATTTTTCGATGATGTTCATCCGAATGATTCCTAATACACCAAAAGTCATTTACATGCTATGAATAAAAAGAAGTTATCTAATCTTGAACAGTTAGAAGTAAATAAAAATAGAATGATTTCTTACAAGTAAGTTGTTCTACATCCTTGAAAATTTTGAGCCAAACTAGCAGAAATTATTTATGGCTTAGTCTAGCAGTTTTTACATTCTTAAATATTGCATGAAGGTTTGAACCATGCAAGCCTCATGTGCACAAGGTTTCACTATCAATGTTCAAATACACATTCTAACACTTCGCATATAACCATTTGAAGCTTTAAAGGTGAAAAGAAAACTGATTTGGATATAAATGTCAGCTCCAAGAACTAGATCAAATCCTCCTCGATGTGCTTGTAAAATATGATTGAGCTGATCAGAATTTCCCCATTCCAGCTTCTCTGCTGTTAATCCTGCAAACAATTAAACAACAAGAAGATATCAACTTATCCAAATAAGTGTCTACCCTTGCAAAATTTGCTCTCATACCTGCACAAGAAATAGCATTTCCTGAAGATGTATGGAACCCGATATTTTTCTTCAGAATCTGATCACCTTAAAAAAGATCAGATAGCTAACTTCCCAAATGTATTATGTATAAGCATGAAATTTGATCTCATAACCTTGCCTTGAGAACCTCCTCGTTATGGTCCGTCAACACAACTTCGGCACAAAATCTGCTGCAGAGTATTCCAGTAACACCTGTATATCGGAATTCAGCAAGGAATATATGTTAGGGACTTACAACACATAGAAGATTCTAAGAATCTAAAGGTGCTGGGAAAATTTCAATGAAAACCTGTAAAGAGGGAGTCACACACACACGCTGGAAAATAAAAAGATCATGTAATTTCAACTTATCCCCAGATATAGCACCAATTGGAAATAGTTTTCAGCCTTTTCTTCAAGTTATCTATGGTAAATATCTTCACAAAAGCCGCTAAGTTGAAAAAAAGGGAAGAAAAAACAATCTTTGGAGACACTTTACTTCTCAAACAGCATTATATACGGGAATGGTGACTGACAGTTCCTTCTTGAAAGGGATTTCAATGACTTAACCTTAAGCTTCTTACTTTTGAGAACTTATCACCAGCAACTTTCGTCCATCCTCCAATTACTGGAATGCATAGAGCTGTCCAAGGAATTAGTTAGGATTCTAACTCCTTATCCTGAAATGGCCTTCAGAAGCAGGGATCTCAAGTCACAACATCAGCTGAAATTATTAAAAAACTGCCACAACCTTAACAACTACAAGTCTGTATGGATCCGGATGTCTAGTATCCAAGGTGATCCATTAAACCAATGGCTATGCCAAAATCTCATCCTTTGACCATCCTACTATGACAAAGTCCACTTCGGAGTATAACAAAACGTGGAAATTCAAAATGAACTGAAGTTTCTTGACATGCAATGCATAACTCCCCCCCCCCCCCCCCCCCCAAAAAAAAAATGATGCAGCCAAGCCTTCAACTTGGTGTAAACAGTGTATGTTACATACCCAGTTTACACCACAAATATTCATTGGATGGAAAATTTGCAGTCTACATATAAACCATTTCCTCAGAGACAGACAGTGGCAAACAAAGTTACACTATAAACTACAACAACAAACAAGTGCGTCGACACTCTCGCCATTACTGGATTTGGGGAGAATTAGATATATGTAACCTTTCTACTGCATGTGGAGAGACTGTTTTCACAATTTGAATCCTTACAAGTCACAATGGAGCAATCTTACCCATGCGCCAAGGTCCACCCTCTAATTACACTTACAAACTATGCAGTAAAACGTTCTCTCTCTCTCTCTCTCAATGCGGAAGAAAAATTGCGTTAACCTTCCCCAAACCCCATAGTAGTGGAAGCTACACTTCAGCTGCCCCTTTTTATAGTCTATCAGTGTAATTTTGTTTGACAATGTTCAATCCTAATCACAACAATTCCTTTTGATACATATTTGAACATGAATTACTCACCATTAACACGTTCTAGGATGTTCTTTAGTCATAAATTACCAATCAACCTAAAGAATTTTTTAGATTGTCTTCTTTATGAAAATTGGATTTTACAACTGTATAACTTCTATTTTTAAAGCAAACTGTGCAAACCCTATGTTTTAAATTTCCAAGACTCATAAAATTTGGAAGCATAGAGAATACTGTAAAATCGTCGAAGGGTATCACTAACCAACACCAGAACCTAGTTCAATAACCGAACATCCTTGGAGCATTTCAGCATTCCTTGACAAGTAATCATTCAAGAGCGTTGCCCCAGGCCACACCAACTGCCCTGTCAAATCAAAATCAGCTGTCTCACAAATGATTAGTCCACAGCAATATATACTGTAATATTTCAATTAAGAATATAGTTAGCATTAGAAAGACAAAATGGAGAATTGTTAAACAAGATAATATTATGCTATTTTACGTGAAGTTCCTTTCCTTTATACTTATATCATACAAATATGCAACATTGCATAGTTATGTGCTGTTGCACATGCGAGTCTAGGATTCCACAAAGGATGCACAAACACTAGAGTACCTCAAGAAAACCATCATAACCACATCACATCTACACTTTGCATTAAGCTATCCACAATTATCGACATTCTCTGCTTAGTCGCTTTCCAAATCTTCCACACCTCAGCAGAAATCAAAGAAGCGCACACACAGAGCCACAACCCCTCTGTAATCCTCGATTCTGGTTGGGAATATACAATTTGATGATATGCTTTATCTTTGTCCAATTATATACATATTGTGATCAAGATAGCATCTAAAAATACCATCACAATTCTGCCACTATCAGCATCATGCACGAAGCAATCCACAATATTCGACATTCTTGCTTATTTACCCTTCAAACAACGACAGCAAAAATTACACCCATACAGACATGGACACAAACCACATGCATACTGGCACTCAACATCTATTCTTTACCAATGCAAGTCAACAATGCCTATTGTCGTATACAGTACAACTCTAATCACGGGCATATTATGTGATTCTCTAGAACATTTACATTACCATAAATATTTCCACCGGTATTTCATTCATTTCAACCATTTATTTCCAAAGTGGCCGAAACTTCGGTCCAACTAATCAAGAAACTTAAAATACCCCAATGTATCTCATATAAGGGAGCCTAAACTTGCTTTTAGTTAGACTCTACGAGACCGGCTCTTCAAAAGGCGAAACTCTCGTAGTAGTTTGGCAACCTAGAATCTTCAGTAGAGGCCTGTAGTCTTTTGATTAGCGTAGGGGTCGCGAGAGAGCCGAGTGTACTGCCATGCCATAGTCGCTGGAATAATCTTTTTAGGAGGGACAATTTTACACATTTCTGCCAAATCCTTCCACTATTAAGTAGAACTGGTATCATTTCGATGTGTTTGGATTCTTCCGAACAAGAGAGGTTTGATGCTTCTGAATCCGTTGTATTAATTCCACTCCCTACTCGCAGAGTACTCTTTATGATGTCGGCTTATGATTCAATTACCTATAATTTACTGAATTTCATCTTATAAATATTGTGTTTGACATGTTATTTATTTGGCAATTAGTTCAACCTAATGTGGGGAAAAAGGACCCAAATCATGCTTAAAATTGAAATTATTGTACTGAAGCCTGAGACAGAGAACATTAAGAACAACTCAAAAGTATTGCCACGAAGAACGTAAACATAAGTGAATAAGATGAAACGGGGTTGTGGAATTCTATTATGCAAACTTTATTTATCAAGAAGAAACTTACTTGAAGCCGATTGAAGACAAAAGAGCTCAAGAACTTGAGAACCAAATGTAAATGTGGTAAGCTGGTAGCTGCACATAACAGAACCCTTTGGTTGTAGTACAAGTTTTGACAGTGAATACGTTCGATCGAGAGAGAGATAAAGAGACATACTCGTCGTTGATGAAGAAAGATTGATCTAAGCAAACAATATCATCTTCTCTTTCCATGATTTCTTATTTTCCCTCTGCATAGACACAACACAAAGTCACAGACACAGAGCACACACACAGACTCACTCTTGGGTTGGGTCTACCAGTAGGAAGAGTGGAGGTGCACCTAATTCGCCTAAAGGGAGCTAGGGACTTTTTTTGGGTTCAAAAGATTGATCTTAAAATGTACCATGCCCTTAATTTGAGTTAACTATACACTTGACACAAAAACTATGTCATTTAAGCCTTTAAACTAAATTTTATATCAATTTAATCCCTTAATTATACAATTTGACTCTTACAACTTGTTTGTTTATCGTTTTTTTTTTGTGGGAGAGAAGAGTGTGGAAGGGGGTTTAAGAAAAATAATCCCATAAATGTTGTAACACTTTTAAATTGGGATTTATCTCTCGTCCCGCAAGTGGCTGATGTATTAAACCCACAATCATGGAGTTGGGCAAATTTAAGGGGTGGGTGTCATATATTCTACCCTAGGTTAACTAAGCCAAATGATCTATCTATCACTAAAAAAATATTTTATCTATCAAATTACATCTTAACCCTCTCCTCTTAATTAATCATCTCTGTAATTAAATAAATATAGGTACGGATTGGATTGACCAATAAATAATATATTCATTCACAAAACAAATGTATGTTGATAATTGTGATAAATTTGTGAGTTTTACATGTGTATATATTATTTATCACCTGTATAAATATAATTCATATATGAATCCCATGTACACAAAAGTGGGAGTTCAGTTTAGAAAATTTTGATAAAGCCAATCCAATCCAATCCCTCACCTTAAATAAAAGGAAAAATTGGAATGGGGTACATTAAATTAGATTTAATTATAAAAAAATACACACAAAAAATATTGGATAGTTAAGTCCTTAATTTTGATACTTATTTGTATCTAAGTATATTATTTGAATTTTATTAATTTTTTTTGTAACATTTTTGTCTTCATTGATTCATGTGTATTTTCTTTGGAAAAATGATGCATTAAACATCTCCTAATTTTATGAGAGAACTTTAATAATCTATATTTGTATGTATTTATATATATATAAATACGTATGTATATATTTATATTTAATACGTTTTAATATGTATATATATATATATATATATTGTTAAATCTCTTATCTAAATTTTGAATTATCTTTAATGTACTTTGATTCATGCTTTTTTTTTAGAAAGTAGTTTTATTTTCAAATTAATTTAATAGCCAAATAATGTAATAGTGTAACAATAAGAGTGTAATAGTGTAATAATAACAGTGTAACAAGTTATTTACAGAAAATATTATACTATTACATTTTGTCAAATATATAGTTTCATATAATTTCATTCAAAATAGTTTGTCTCCGTTTTAAATTTGTTATCACATGCTCAAAACTACTGAATATTGTTTTTGTTACAGTGTATTGTTACACTATCTTTGTTACAGTGTATTTGTTATACTGTTTTTGTTATACTATTATGGAGTTCGGATATTAACAAATTTTGAAATTCAAACAGGTGATATATTCTAAAATAAACGAAATATTAAAATTATCCTATAAAATTAATAGTAGTAAATATTTAATGCATAAATAGAATTTGAAAAAATATACGCATGAATCAAGGTGCATTAAAAATAATTCAAAATTTAGATAAGAGATTTAACAACAAATATATATATATATATATATACACGTGTTTATATGTATTAACAAATACATATAAATCAATGTGCATTAAAGATAAGAGATTTTGAATTAAATGACCCTAAAATTGGCATTTATGTCATTGTATTTCAATTGTGTATTTTTTTTCAAAATATTTTATTCTATATACTTTTTGTCAAATAAGTCTAATTAACTGTACCAGTTTCCAAAGAACCCTAAATAAAACCATACAAACCTGCCCTCAAGGCTTGTTTGGATAGATTTTTGGGGAGAGTTTAGATTGAATTTAACAAACACTTCCAAATTCAAACCTCTCTTTACAAAGATGTGATTTAACATTGAATCCGGTCCATACTCATGTTTGATATGCAACACATATATATGTAAGACCCATGAATATATCATATTTATTAACAACTATTTGTCTTGTAAATGACTATTTTACTCTTGATCAATTCAATTCATATTCATGTTAAAAGGTGTAATTGTCTTTTACATCTTTAACTCCCAGATTTGACAAAACTCATGATAATAAGTTTAAATATTCGAGCGAACTATGACCTAGATTTAAGAACTCAAGATTGAATTTTCAATTTAAACATGGAGTTTGGAGGTCCTTTAAACTATTTTTCCTAAACTCATCGCCAAGTCCCCCACAGGGCTTGAAGGGTGTTAGGGTTGGGTGGGGCTCGAACTTTTTTTGAGTTAAAGATGCCCCTAAAATGTGATCACATCTGCTCAATTTTTATTGGAAGGGATATTCACAACGAATCTTCCAAATTTTTTTTTCTTTCTTACCACATCATTTAAAATTTTGGACAAGACTTATAATAAATTGTAAATTTAAAAAAAAAATTAAAAAATGGTTGTTAATTAGGGATCTAGTTCTCCTCTAATATATATTGTAATTTTTTGTTTTTTGATAAATCATTCATCATTAATGAGTAATGAACCCACATGTGTATAATAAATTTCACTTAAATGCATGATATATAATCTATCAAAAAGAAAAAAAAAGTATTGTACTGTATATCACTCCGCTAACAAGTGAATGGATATGGGTTGTGTTGATGTAATTGCATAAATTGAGAAGCTAAGTACAAAATAATAAAGCTTAATACGAAACAACCTAGATTGACACGCGTGTATCTTGCTCTCTTTAAGAAGACTCAAGCCCTCTGCGGATGACAAAGTCCAAGCAGACCTTCTCATTTGACTTGTCTCCTCCAAGATGCAATAACTCAACAGTTTCGTCGTATGACACTAACCAACTCTACCCAAGTGGTTAAGTCCAAAGCTTCATCATAAAAACACCCTTCTTTGGCTTAAACTCTCAAGTGTAAGTATGTTGTGAAGTGTTGTAATGTGTTGGATGATGTTTCAAAGTTCTTCAAATGCCCAATTTAGAGGTCATATTTATATGCTCTTTAGAACTTTTTAGAGTTCATGTATCCAAGTCTTACATGTATGTAATTATACATGAATGTAATAATGATCAATTTATGCATATAAGTCATACATGAAAGTCAACCTACATGAATGGAGGTTGACTTTTGGTAACGAAATGTGAGTCATGAATGAAGGTTGACTTTTGGTAGCGAAATGTTAACATTAGATGACGTATTTTTTGGTTACTAAAACACTAACTATATTCAATTTATGGTCAACATTTGCTAAGGGTCCCAAAATTTTCATTCTTTCAATTTTTTAGTCTAAGTTTTTCGTCTTTACATACCCATTAAATAACAAAATAATATTGTTAGGACCTAATTGGGGACTTAATGCAATGCTATTACTAGATTGGTAGTTGATCTTAGCATTTATCTGATCCACTGCTAATCCAACGATAAGAATGCTTTAATTCCCCATATTAAACACAATTAGGGTTACTTTGAATAAAATTCTTCTAGTCTAGTGTTTTTCAAACTCTTATTCTATGCACAATTTTGTATACATTTTTTAAGTCATACGAGTTAGCAGTACATCCCACTTTTTGTATGCAGAACTAAGCCTTATAAAAAGTATTACAAACAAAAATTAGCCTTTTAATAGAGATGGTAAACTCTATAAAACTTTTGTATTATTTACAGAATATTATTGACATTGCTTTTACGGAAATATTTTTTTCACATTTGAAACTAATAAAATCCTTCATTCTGGAAATTATACCGGAAGAAAGAAAAACTGAATTACTTAAAAAGTATAAATTAGCAAAAGTGAACATAAAAGTTTGATTTTTACATAGCAAAAAATAAGAAAAATAATTTTTGAATTAAAAAATAGTGAAATTATATAAATGCTTATATTAAATTTCAAAAGCCCCATTTATCACTTTCGCTTAGGGCCTATTTAGCGTTTCAAATACTTATATTGGTTGTAGTTATGAAGGGACAGCGGTGACAGTGGTAGTGGGAAGCTGACAGAAACGGTGGTGGTGGCAATGCGGTGGGGTGATGGAAAGATTGGTGTGAAATGAATTGAAATCAAAAGTTTGGAGGGCAAATTTGGCCATCATGAAAACTTAAAAGTCTTATTCACCAACAATTCAACATTAAGTGATAAATAGGTGATTAGTTATTTAAAATTATACCCAAATTTTTTGAGTGTAGAATGTCTTCATTTTTAAGTACTGAATTGGGTTATCATAATATCGAATTTTATTTTTCTGTAGAATTATGTATAAATTTATGGATAATTAAACTTGGTTCAAATTGATATAACTTAAATTTGAGAGGATTCAAATTTCTAAGGTACCAACCTACTCTCGCTTGGAGCAATTAATAGCTGTTAAACTAGGAAAAACAATAGCTTAGGTTTTTTGTTTTTGAACATAATAACTTAGGTTTAATGAAGCTATTCCTCTTAAATAAATACACATTAGATTGAATTATCATGCTAACAGAGGAAATAATTGCATAAATAAACAATTAGAGATTGAGAAATAATCTTTTTGGGTGAATTTTTATTAATTATTTGGTCCAAGATTGTCAATATATATTAGATCTACATTGAACAAATCTGAATCAGAGTTTAGTTAGAAAATTTTGTTTTAAATTTGATTTGATTGTTCAACGAATTCTGTCTTCCCATATGTGGATCTCTTAAAAATTAAAATCCGGTCGAATAATCTACTTATGAATTTTTAAAAAATTACACATGAATTTAAACTTGCTCACTAAGTATCATCTCATCTCTAACATTGAGTCAAATTTTTATTTTTTGAGTCAATATTTGAGTAAAAAGTATAATTTAATACAGAGAGTTCCGATGGACAAAAACAAATTTAAAGGAGGAGAAATCTAAATTTAAAGGACGAGAAACTGAAATTTAAAGAAGGATGAAATATGACCATTGAATATTTGAAAGAAAATAAAATCTGATCATTAGTGATTTCAGTAAATGTTTGAGTCTTTCTTGATTTAGTTAAAATTTTGAGTCTTTCTTAAATTGGTGTATGATT